TGCGTGCGGACGCCCAGGCACCGGGGCTGGAGACGCCGCGTGGGCTGCCCTCGTCTCCCCCAAGGTCTTTCCAGGTCAGAATAGCGAAGCCAGAGACGACTCCTCACAGGACGACGCTCTGAGGTGGGTCTGCCCGTGCCGGCTCCGCCCCGCACCGGCTCCGCCCCGCACCGGCTCCTCCCCGCGCCGGCTCCGCCCCGCACCGGCTCCTCCCCGCGCCGGCTCCGCCCCGCACCGGCTCCTCCCCGCACCGGCTCCGTGTCCCGCACCCTCCTCCCCGCACCGGCAACTCCCCGCACCGGCTCCGTCCCGTCCCGCACCAGCTCCTCCACGCACGGGCAACTCCCGGCTCCTCCCCGCACCGGCTCCGCCCCGCACCGGCTCCGCCCCGCACCGGCTCCTCCCCGCACCGGCTCCACCCCGCACCGGCTCCTCCCCGCACCGGCAACTCCCCGCACCGGCTCCGCCCCGCACCGGCTCCTCCCCGCACCGGCTCCTCCCCGCACCGGCTCCACCCCGCACTGGCTCCACGCCCTGCAACCCGGAAGCCGCAGGGACTTTATCTAGGAGGCGAAGCCCGGGAGGCCGCTGCTGTCCAGCCACAAGACGGCCAACACCCCAAGTTTCCCTTGGCCAAAGTGGGGCTCAGGGAAGGCGGCACTGGGGAGCGGGGGCACCGCCAGGCTTTCCACCGGCGCCTCGGGGCCGAGTGGCCGTGCAGGGGCAGGGCCTGGCAGTGGAAGCCCCCCCCTGCTTCACAGCAGCGAGAGACCACGAGACCACGCGGCGGCGGCGCAGAGCACGCTTCCCGCCACCCGCGGAGAGACCAGAGACCAGCGCGCTGCCCGGGGCCTGGGGCTCCTCCACTGACCGCGGCTGCTGCACTTCAGTGTCACCTGCAGCTCTGCCCTGCAGCCTGCGGGGCGTGTGCGTGCACACAGTGTGGATTACACGCTCACCAGGGGTGAGCCGAGCTCGAGGGAGACAGCACGTGGCTTTCCTGCCGCCAGCGCCACTGCCAGCGGCACAGCCCCCCAGGACAGCACCCACGGCGCGGGCGGAGGGGCGGGGTGGAGGGCGGTACTCACGGGGATGTGCGGCAGCGGCACCCTGCCGTTGACCTGCACGCTCTCCTGCATCTCCCTGCGGTGCTGCTTGCGGGTGCGGTACGGCGGGATCCCGTCCCTGCGCGGGGAAAGAGGAGCGTTAACGCGGAGAGGAGGACCAGCCTTGGCGGGGTACGGGCCTGCCCCACCGCCATCGACCGGCGACAGCGCAGATACTAGCAGCGCAGAACCCACGCTACCACCGCCACTGGCATGTATGCAATCACACGCGTGCAGGCGCACACAGGCACGGATGTGTACAACAGCAGGCCCAGAGCTCAACTGTTTTCTCCCACTGGTCTCCGTCGGGCCTGCCTGTCTCTCGAGGCTCACAGCTAAGAACGGTTCTGCGTGTTCTAAGAGTGGGAGCACATGGCAGCAACCGTACATGGCTGTGCAGCCTATGCATCACTGCTGGCCCTTCACGGGAACCATCTGCTGACCCTGCTTTACGGCCTGGGCTGGCACTGGGGGGCTGCAGCCCGTCACCCTGGGCAGCCCGGCTCCAGAGTCCCACGGTCGCGGCGTCCAGGAGCACCCTGGAGGCGCCGTCTCTGAGGGTGCGCAAGCTGGTTCTCCCAAACAACATGCTTTCGCCACGAGCCCTTTAGGAGATCACGAAACACACATAAAATCAAATTATGTACGTCTTTGTTGTTTTTTTTGAGACAGAGTCTCGCTCTGTTGCCCGGGCTAGAGTGCCGTGGCGTCAGCCTAGCTCACAGCAACCTCCGACTTCTGGGCTCGAGCAATCCTTCTGCCTCAGCCTCCCGAGTAGCTGGGACTGCAGGCGTGCGCCACCGCGCTGGCCAGTCTGCTGCTTTAGAACCTCGTGTGCCTCTGTAGATCAGGCACCGTCCTCCACGTGGCCGGCGAGCGCGTGCTACACAGCCGTCAGTGCGGCCCCAGTGTGAGAGGCTGGGCACGGCTGCCCCTGGCAGGAACAATGCACCTCTCTGCTCTGCCTCTGATGTACATTCAAATACCTGCAGCAATTCTGCATTCCAAATTGTTAAGTGCTTCCACGAGAACACAGATGAACAGAACATCAAGGGAAAACAGACACGTGTATTTATTTTAGGGCCTCCCTTTAGGAAACATATGTTCTTTTCTTAGAGAGAGTAAGAGACTTTTTGGGAAAACTGCGTTGGCAGATTAATTTTCATTGTAGTAATAATTCTGGAGAAGACGAAACCAGACGCCGTGAATGTGCAGTCTGCTCCGGACGCCGCAGGCTCCAGCTGCTGTTTGCACACGCTCTGCACGCAGAGCAGGCCCTGCCTGAACCCCAGTAGCGCCAACGAGAAATGCCACACACCGAACCTCGACCCCGAGGGACAGAGCCCCGGCATCACCACTGCACAGGTGTTGCAGTAGAAAGACCAGAGAGCCCCAGCGTGTGACAGCACAGGGCTGGCTAGCTTAGGCTCAGAAATGGCAGGTGATGACCTGTTCTGTTTACCTAAAAATCTAGCTGTTGGAAGATTTAAAGACAGAAAAACAAAGGCCGGGCACGGTGGCTCACGCCCGTAATCCCAGCATGCTGGGAGGCTGAGGTGGGCGGATTGTTAGAGCTCAGGAGCTCCAGACCAGCCTGAGCAAGAGCGAGACCCCGTCTCTACTATAAATAGAAAGAAATTGGCCAACTAAAAATATATAGAAAAATCAGCCAGGCATGGTGGCACACGCCTGTAGTCCCAGCTACTAGGGAGGCTGAGGGAGGAGGATCGCTTGAGCCCAGGAGTTTGAGGTTGCTGTGAGCTAGGCTGACGCCACGGCACTCTAGCCCAGGCAACAGAGTGAGACTCTGTCTGAAAATAAATAAATACATAAAGACAGAAAAATAAGAAGAACAAAACATAAAAATGGTAAAGGAGAACCAGCTGAGGCAGGGAAGCAGCGCCAGGACCCACTGGCACCCGTGGGTGGTGGCGAGCGGCTGCGTCCCGGTGCCCTGACGCTGCAGGAGGGACCCTGGGGTGCTGGGCTTGGCCCCAGCCCCGGCAGGAGTCAAGGGCACGGGGCTGAGGGCGGCGTAGGCCCGAGACTCTCGGAAGCCGGAGTCCGACGACCGCACCAGACTGCGCAGTCAGCGCTGACCGCCCGCGTGTCACGCCGTCCACCCCTACTGTGCGCCTGGGCCCGAAGCCCCCACTGAAGCAGAGGAGACGAGGCCACAGAACAGGCCCCTTCCCACACAGGGGCTCTCCCTGGCCGGGTGACAGCGGAAGAACAAGCCCCCGGCTGTCACACGACGTGGGGACGAGGACACTGGGGCGCAGAGGCTGGGACGAGGCTACGCAGGTCCCAGGTCACTCAGGCGTCAAGACCGGGCCGTCCTGGGGCCCCGAGGCGCTGGGCTCGGCACGGGACAGCCTCTCGGCCCCTGTCCCTGGGGCCCCGAGGCGCTGGGCTTGGCACGGGACAGCCTCTCGGCCCCCGTCCCTGCTGCAGACGGCATGGGCTCCCCCGGCGAGACGGCCCCGTGCCCAACGCCCACATGCTGACGGGAACGTGCCTGCAGCCGCCTCTCAGGGCCACACCTCCTGGCACAGCCACTGGCGAGGCGGCCGGCCCACACCTCCCTTTCCCCTGGGCCCTGGACTAGGAAGCCAGAGAGGAACGGCCCAGCGCTCTCGCCTGGGCGGCCTGGGGGTGTCTCGACTGCACCTGGACTCTGCCCCCCGGGGCCAGCAGCCTCCACCTCAGTGCCGCCACAGTGCGCGGCAGCAGTGGAGATGGGGTCCTGGCCCAGCAGGACTGAGTCAGGGCACGTCCTCCACGCGGCCTGCATCTTACACGCGCTGACACCGAGCCTGGCCCGGGAAACTTCTGTGTGGACGACGCACGGCAGTGCCGGGCATTGACCGGGGCACGGACCTCCCCCGAGGGCAGACTTACACGCTGCTGTCGGTGAGCGACAGGGTGTCCGCGTCGCTGGACAGGCTCTGCTGCTCGCTGTCATTGGCGCTGGTGGCCGGGGCCAGGGCATAGCCGGCGTTGACGTAGTAGGGGTTGACGGGCTCCCGCCAGGATCCATACCTGCAAACAGGCAGCACGTTAGTGGCCGAGGCCAGCAGCCTCTCGCTTCGATCCACAGTTTCGGGGTTATCTGAATATCCCGACGTGCGGATTTAAAACGTAAGCAATTAGGAAAGAAGGCGAGGCAGGAGGGGCCAACGGACAAATCCATCCCGCCCTTTCCAGGGGGTGGCTTAAAGCACTGGGCATCTTCCAGATCTTTCCTCTGCTCTCAGGTGGGCATTTTCACGCACACACGCGGTTTACCGTGTGGATCTTTTTCTCACGTGTGTTTCCAGCAGCTGCATGTGACCAGAAACGGCACAGTGGCTCTGCTCTGTCTCGTGTGGAACTGCCTACAGTGGCCTCATCCCTGCCACGGCTGCGAGGTGGACCTGGCCTCCCGGCGCCCTCGGGGCATTCCCAGCACACGCTGGGCCCAGGTGGGGCGCCAGGACTCCAGCGCTGGCTGCGGGCTCACCTGGCCCCACGCTCCCTGCTGACCGCCTGTGCCCAAGTCTGAGAACGGCCCCAGGACGACCTGGGCTTGGCTGAGAGTTCCCTGCGGCTGGCGTTGCCTCCTGCCCTCACCTGCCAAGAACAGGCTCGCCACCCTCCCGGGGGGCTCACCTCCACCTGCTGCCACTGACTGGCTGGGAAGTGTGGCTCACTCGAGCGGCGATGCCCTGAGCCACAGCCAGCGTGGCAGCTGGTGTCCTCCTCTTCCTCTGACCACACCATGATCACGCCGCGTCCGTTCTAGCCTCTGGCTACGTATGCAAAGAATACCTTCTCCCTAAATGCCATTTTCCTCTTTTCAATTTTGTTCACGTTGATTCTGGTCCTAGAAAAGGTTTTCATTTCTATGAAATCAGACTTACCCATTTTTCCTTTAAATAGCTTTTCAGTGTCTTGCAAAGCCAGGCCTTCCTCATCCCAACATGACAAACACATTCTTTCTCTGTTTTTCCGTATACGCTCCAATAGTTTCTTTTAGATTTAGGCGTTTATCTGAAATGTGTATAAATCTAGCTCACCCCCTTGCACTACAATGGACAGGTGGCTATGGGCACCAAATGTGGAAACATCCATCTCGTCCTCAGTAATTTTAAATCCCGCTCTGCGTCCTACCTCACCCGCCCTCACACACGCACCTACTCCTGGATTCTACGGTGTTCTGCGGATCCGTGTGCCTGCCGCCGTGCGGGCCCCTAACCGCTGTGCCGCCGCAGGGCGCTCTGGCTCCTGAAGACCACTCTGACACCACAGTGCTCGCCACTGTCTGCGGCTCCACCCTCCCTGGCTGCAGCTACTAGCAGTCAACCGAGGTCTGAAAATAAGTTTCTGCCGTACAGTAAGATTCTCAGACAGAGGGAGGGAGGTACCACATTCGCCACTTTCACGGAACTTTTATCACAGGTGTTGTTATGACTGTTCTGTTTGACTCAGACACTGCCACTCTCTCGCTGCATCTAACTTACGAGCTAACTTTAACGCAGGGATGTGCGTGCAGGAACACAGCACATGTAGGGTCTGGCACCATGTGGGGCTTCAGGCACCCAAGGGGGTCTTGGGCCACGCCCCCCGCTGAGGGGGACGACCGTGTTCGCCGGTGCCCACAGGTCACGGTGAAACGGCAAAGGCCACAGTGGCGCGCGGGGCCTGTGTGGCAGGACCGTGTCCGGGCTGAGCTGTCCGAGCGGCGGGCTCAGCGCTCGGCCTCGCTGCAGAGCTCGGGGGTGCGCGCCGCAGGGCGGGCCGTGGCACAGCCGCTGGCACCAGCGCATCGCATCCTCAGGGGTCCGGGGGACCCCGAGTGTCTCTCGGGCAGCAGGATCCCTTGGACGGACACCCGCTCACCCAGGGAACAGACCTTCTGGAAAGCCCCGCTTCCATGCGCTCTGGACAAGGCCCCCTGACAAGCGAGGGGACCAGACGTCTCGGGGGCTCACCACACAGCGTGTGGGGCTGAGCCAGCCGGGTGGAAGAGGCCTTTCTGCGCGGCCCGTGGTGCTGTCAGGTGGGGCCTTGCAGGAGGAGGCCGCGCCCAGGCCTTCGGCGCCCAGCACTCCGGCGGGCAGACGCAAGCACGGGGCTGAGCTCGAGTCACAGCAGTGCCGTCACCACACTCTTTCCGTCCCAGCCGTGGAAGGACGGGGGCCACGTTAGCCGGCTGCATGGCCCCCGCCGCAGCGCACGTGCTCAGCGAGGCCGCGGCCCTGCCAACACCACAGCCCGGCCCCCAGAACCCCGAACCTTCCCGGCCCCCCGCAGCCCCAGCTCGCTCCTGGGGGCTGCTGACACGTCACGGCCAAACGGGGCTCTCGGGGACCGGGCCCTCAGCGGGGGGCCCCGTGTCCGTTACGCACCTCTCCTGTGCACACCTAACACGGAGCGGGCAGACTGTGCCAGGCTGCAGCTCCACGTTCTTTGCTTCGAGTATCACGAGACATTTTCAGATGACAGTTGCTCCCCTGGGACTTAAGAATAAAGCCACAGCTTCTCATCAGCTGCCAGTGTTGTCCCGTAACAGCCACCGGAGGGAAAGTCAGATGCCTGGGTAAGAGCTAACTCACTCGGCCAGACAAAGCCGTGTCCAGTGAGAGCGCGCGGCCACCGCGGCGTGGAAACCTCGCCCACCGCGTGGGCAGGCCTCCGGCAGCGCTGTCCTGCTGCGCGTCGCGTTTGGCGGATCGAGCCTTCTCGCCAGCACATCCCACCACCTCCCCTTCCCACTCTGGAACCCGGGTGCGCCTTCGCCTGTCTGGAAGACCTGCTTTCGAAATGATAACCAGGAAAAATGTAGGTTTTCAGTTTTCTACAGACTCTAACGTTGAGCAAATTCCACCACACAAGCCAGGGTCAAATGATGAGAAGGAAAAAACAGCCAGAGGAAAGAGAAGCAGCGGGAAGAGCTACCGGTTGTCTGCTTATCTTCTGGAAAATCCAGGCGGCACCGGCACTCAGGATGGAGACCTCTGAACACACAGCCGCACAGGCTGCCGTGTGTGACAAGAACATTCTGGCTGATGCCACGTGACAGGGCCACGCAGGAAACTTCAGGACCCTCCCCGCAAGACAGCCGGATCCAACAGCAAGGAGTATGTGCTCGTATGTGTGCACACGGGTGTGCATGCACTGTGCACGGAGCTATATGTGTGCATGCACTGTGTGCATGTGTGTGCGTGGCTATATGTGTGCACACCTATGTGCGTCCAAGCACACATGTACACGCCTGCACATGCCTGCAGACATGCGCCCAGCAAAATAAGACACAGCCCCTCCCTGCAACATGACTGCCACCCCACTGCCCCTCATCTTGTCACAGCTTCTTTCTTCTCCCCTCCCCACCCCCAGGTTCTGTCGCCCTGGAAACCACAGCCAGTGTCTACTCAAGCAGGGTCTGCGGCCCGTCCATCACCCTCTGGCCCTGCTCCTGCCGCCTTCCCCAGCTGTCCGGGTGGCCGGGGCCCTCGCTGGTCCAGCCGTTCCATCTGCAGCAGCCGGCAAGGTCTCAGGACGGCACCTGCTGGCACCAGGATCACCCGAGCGCAGTGCGAGGCCCCGGCTTCCGGTCTGTCTTCCAGATCACCCAGCCAAGCACAAGAGTGTCCCTGGTGGGGCGCTGTCGGGCCCTGTGAGGTGACAAGGAGTCCGGATTTCCTCCGATGGGCCGTGACATCGGTGGAAGATCTCCCCCTCGAGGGCGCCTGCCACGTCTCCCGTGTTAGCATGGGCGCCTCGGGGCCGTTTTCATTCTAGGAAACCTCTGACTTACGCGAGAGCAGAGCGGACGGTCCAGGAAGCTGAGGCTCCCACAACAGCCACCTCACGCCAGCCTGGCACCAGCCCTCGCCCGCCCACGCCAGTATCGGGGCCAGTCCTGGACACCCGCCATACCCTGGGATGTGCTTCCTCTGCTGCTCAGAATAGCCCGGCCTGGACACAGGCGCCTTCTGCCCAGGTGGGAGGAAAGCAAGGTGTGAGTCCTCCTTTTTCTCACCAGTCTCCGACATGTGAAGGCTCAAGGTGTGCGGGACCAGAAACCTCTCAGCTGTGCCCAGACCCGGCCGCTCCCGAGACCCGCCCTGCCCGTCCCGTCTCCCTGCTGCGGTCAGGCGTACTCCAGACTCCATGCTGAGGGACAGGCGCCCGCTCGCTCTGCGGAGACGCCCCTGACTGCAACTGCCCGTGGAGCCGCGGGCTGAGCCTGAGCACCGCCTGCCCGCGCTGGCCCCGAGGCCCGCCCGGCTTTCTCCCCGAATGGCGGCCATGCCAGACACAGGAGTCCTCGCAGGCCGCCCCGAGGCCCGCCCGGCTTTCTCCCCGAATGGCGGCCATGCCAGACACAGGAGTCCTTGCAGGCCATGCCAGACACAGGAGTCCCCGCAGGCCATGCCAGACACAGGAGTCCTCGCAGGCCGCCCCGAGGCCCGCCCGGCTTTCTCCCCAAATGGCGGCCATGCCAGACACAGGAGTCCTCGCAGGCCACGCCAGACACAGGAGTCCTCGCAGGCCACGCCAGACACAGGAGTCCTCGCAGGCCACGCCAGACACAGGAGTCCTCGCAGGCCACGCCAGACACAGGAGTCCTCGCAGGCCACCTCGAGGTCTGAGCGGGGCCATCTGAGGACGGCGCGTGGCACGGGTGTGACCGTGGGGACAGCAGGCCTTGGGAACGGTGGCCCTGTGGCCTCAGGGACCAAAGAGCAGCCTGGGAAACCCCAGGGAGAGGCGGGAATTAGGGCTCTGCTTTGTAAGCCCATGGAAAACTGCAGGTACAGACTCCATGGGGAGGAGCGAACCCGCAGCCCTTTCATCTGCTGCTGCTACCTAGGAACACCGCCCTGCTCTCAAGCAGCTGTGCTGATTTGGTTTTCTGAGTGGGGAATACACTTGGATATTCAACATTTAAAAAGGTCAAAAAAGTACACCCCTACACTCTTGTGCTTGGCTGGGTGATCTGGAAGACAGACCGGAAGCCGGGGCCTCGCACTGCGCTCGGGTGATCCTGGTGCCAG